ACACACTCCAGGTCAAGATAGCTTCAGTCTCCCAGTTCTGGCCTGGAATCCAGATTTACCTTTTTCTTCTAGTTTATCTGGAGTCGGTACAGAGGCGAGAGCAAGTGCCTTGCACTGTTTCCCCATTTTTACCGAAACCAAAGCTTATTGACTGGCTGTCTCTCTCTTTTATGTGTACACTTAGATATAGAAAGGGTAAACCCTTTGTAAGTGAATAGATGTATTTGTTTTAAACAGAGAGTATATAAAAGGATATAGACAATGTTAAATTTTTGATTTGCTTAGGAGAAAATTGGGAGAGATTGCTAAATTTTTCTTTGTACTACACTACATTGAGAAGTAGCTCATATAACGATAGCTTGAAATTAAGTGACAATAAACTATATTTTTAAAAATAACATGGACCAGGAGGTGGCAGCACAGTAACACATTTGCTCTAAGTTATTGCCTTCTTGCACACACTTGTGGGTCAAGGTGACCTATTTCCACATGTCCTGAGTGTAAAAATACAACAAAATGACATAAACAGATTGTATAATCTGATTCTTGCTTTCTTTGCTTCGACTGCTTGCTTAAAATATCAGTTGCTGTTACTTAATGCGTACAAGGAAGTCACTCTGATGCTTCTCCATTAGTTGTTATCTTTTTCTTTGGTTGTTATTGATATTTTCCTGTCATTTAAGGACTAGCAGATAGTGTAATCTTTATGTGGCTGGATTCCCAAGTAGTTGACTGCAGTTCAATTTCTGAGGCCGGGGGGCTTAAAACTCATGCTGGGTACGTGTTGCGTGCATGCCCAAAATCCGTAAAGAGTAATGGAGGAACAGGGATTGTGGCATGGTCATCCCCTTTGGGGAGTGATTTCTTGCTTTCTGTCTCTCTGTCTCTGTCTCTCTGCCAAGTGCATGCACCCTGTATCAAAAATATCTCTCTCTCAAAAAAAAAGTAAATAAATAAATAAAATTCACAATGATTTTAGCTTAAATGAATATTGATTATATTATGTTTTCACTTTCCATATAGTAGTCAATAAATTACATGAGATTGTCAATATTTTATTATAAAATAAGCTTTATGTCAGATGATTTTTGTCTATCTGAGCACATTTAAAACATTCAAAGCTAAGCTATGATATACAGTAGGTTAGGTATATTAAACACATTTTCTATATATTTTGTCTTTCTCTTCTTTCTCTTCTTCTTTTCTTTCTTTCTCTCTCTCTTTTATGAGAGAAAGAAACAGGGCACTCCCAGTAGGGTTCCGATGTGGTCCACATTGAGTCTTTGGTAGCCAGGATGACAGGTATGTGTTTATACCAGGTGTATACAGGGAGACCTAGGATGTGAACCCAGGACTTTCTCCTAGAGTCTCAGCATCTCAAAGCATTGTTTCACTACTGCACCACCGTGGCTGGTTGCCAATATAATTTTTTCAATTTATAATAGATTTATCAGGATATAACCTCATCAGAAGCTGAGGAGCATCTGTCTATACCATAATACTATGTGGGATGGGGGCCAGCAAATGGCATAATGGTTATGTTGTTGGACTTCCACATGGCTGACTGTGGTTCAAGTCCTGGATCTAGTGGCTTGAAACTCACACCAGGCATGTGTGTGTGCATACCCAAAATTCTGGGAAGAAAATGAAGGAGAAGGGATTTCAGCATGGCCATTCCCTCTAGGGGATGATTTCTCGCTTTCTATCTCTCTGTCTCTGGTGAGCGCACATGCCCTGTAGCAAAAATTTCTCTTATAAAAAAAAGTTACTTGGGGCAAGAGAGACTCTAACTTGATATAAAACCCCAAAGAAAGTATTAGCATAGCGGCTATCTTATTAATTAAATTAATTATAAAAAGAAGGTGCAAATAAAGGTTTACATACACAGAATATATTTGAGTTTTGTTAAATATTAGTCAGTAGTCATGTACAGCATTACAAAATATGCAATTAAATACATATGAAAATGACAATTTATTATAATAAAACATTACAAAGATGGGCTCTCGATTATCTGAATATTTTGTACAAATATCATTCTGCAAAAGTGCCTGCCGTTTTTAAACAGTAAATACAAAAGTTACACGATAAGATCTTCACCAAAATCTTACATCAAATTGTTTATGAATATCTAATTTTATACTGGTTTCTGATGTAAGTTCTTTATGAATATGTAATTTATGTTTGCTTTCCATTTGGTAAGTCTCTTAATTGTTATGAAGTTGGTTGAAAATAAAACTGTTTAAATAAAATGCATGAAGAGACAATGACATAAAAGTGAAATGTAAATTTACACAAGGATTGGAACTTCTCTCATTTTTAGGGATGGAGTTGAACTGAAAGTTGTTCCTTTTCACTGAATCATTTTTTCTTTTTATTTAAACTTAACAAAATGGCCAAAAAACTTCATCTTTAATTTTTGAGTACTGAAAAGCATTTTTACATAGTTCAGAACAGAATCCTTGGCTAAGCGGTATTTCTAGTTCTCCTGCTGTCTGAATAAGTATTTATTCATTGCTCCAAAATAAACATTGGTATAATTGTTTAAAGAGATTAAAATTTGCATTGTTGGGTGTAAATGCAATTGTCAACTTTTTTCAAGTCTCAAAAAGAAACTAAAACACTTCTGAGGGCAAATGGCAATAGACTCACAGTAGTGCCATCTTTTAAGTCCCATATCATATCCAGTGCCCCTCCATCATTTGTGTTAATATTGGCCCAAACTAATGATTATTATTTTTAAAATAATAATGTGTCATGATCCTCCTGCCTTAGCCTTCTGACTAGGACTATAGGCACATCCCATTATGCTTGACTCTTTTTTGATGTAATTTAATTTAATTTATTTTAGAAAAGGTCTTGAATTGTGGCTGAGATCAGTCTTGAAATTGCAATCCTTCTGCCTCAGCTTCCTGGGTTACTGGGATTACAGGCCAAGTGCATATCGCCTTTTCCCACCATTAGATTGGACTGGAAATAGAACCTGGACTTCTCATGTAATCCCAGCTTCCATAGAATAGCATTTTAGCAGTGCACACCACTGAAGCTGTACCAGAACTAATTTTCTCGACTTACTTAGTTCAGTGGACATTGTTAATGAGGGTTATTTGATGAGGAAGACAAAAAGTGTGGCACCATCAGGAAAAGAAGCAAGTATGGCTGGGGAAAGCGGAGAATGCTTAGCCAGTTGGTACATATCTGATTAAACTGCCAGATTTCTCTCTAATGAGGCGTATGTAGTAGCAACACAAAAATGAACAAGGAGGTAATTAGAGATACTTAGCAGTAATGGTAGATCTTTGTGAAGATGACAAGTATCTTTATGCTCTTGGTTAGCAAAACACTTCAGATGACATGAAAGAAATCCTGCCTTCCTCATGTTTAATGAGAAAGTTATCAGATCACTCTTATTTGCAGCTTGAATTCAAGGACACTACACATAGCTACACACACTATACACAATTTGCTGGAGACCTCACAGGATATTTACAGTTGGTTGTTGAGTTAGATGTTAGTTTTAGATTTAATCCAGTCTCGATAATGAGTTACTTTGGTATAAACTCCAGGCTTGTTTTCTATTCCACAGTCCATTCCCCAGCTTACTATTCCAATCAGATACCAGATGTTTCTATCATGTGCAATAACCAGAGGTCCTCCAGAATCACCCTGAAGAAGAAGAAAATATTTTTGTTAATGTGCTAAATAAGGGGACATGTGACATGAGAGTTAATTGGCATCTGAATGTCTAATAAACTAATACTCTAAATTAAATATGTAAAACTAATCTATTTTACTTACCATTAATATTAACATGGTAATTGAACCTATTACTTGTTAATGGCTTCTGCTAGAAGGTATAGGGAATAACGCTAAGGTTTCAATGCTATCCTTCTAAAATTTTTAGTTTTTCTATTTAGACAGAGACCACAAATTGAACCAAAGTTCAGGCAGCCAATTCTCACATAAATGATGACCTCAAGACAACTACATTGTCATCTCCATGAAGCCTTTCCTAACTCTCTTAGCTAGAAACAATCTTTTGATTCGAATTAAAATCTCACTTTGTTTCACTCATACTAATTAGTAGGAAGGTATCCTGGGTGTGGAATTGCTATAGGGTGATAGGCTTGAGAGAAGGAAGATAGGCAAAGGGCATTCCAAACTAAGGTGCAATATTTATCACCAAAAGGATTTTGCTCTCAAATTCAAATTGACTCCTTAACACTAACAGACTGGTTTGAAGTATGTGAATCATGAGGACTGTTTTTGTTATCGTTAACCCAAAGTTTAGACAAATTATTTTAAATCCATCTTTTAGCAATGAATTTATTCATTTGAAAAAAAAGTATCGGGCCAGCAGGTGGTGTGGTGGTTAAGGCATTTGATTCCCACACGAATGACCACAGTTTGAGTCCTGGACCCAAATGCTTGGAAGCCACACTAGGGATTTGCATGTTTGTGCCCAATGTCCCAAGAGGCAAATGGAGGAGAAGGGACTGTGGCATGGCCATCTCCCCTGAGGATTGATTTCTTAATACTTTCCCTCTCTCTGTCTCTTTCTGTCTCTCTCCAGTGTATATATATCATATATAAACACACATATAAACATATATATGTGTGTTTATGTATGAAGAAATGGACCTGTTTGAAGTAGACATAGGGTTCTTCAGTCTTGTACCTTTAGCTCCCTTCCTTTCAATTTCTTCTCCTATGTCTTAATATGTTCTGTGAACAGAAAATACAAACTGATTTATCAACAGCAATCTTTCCTTTTTCTTGGCCCCACCTTCTAACTTAGGTCCTCAGTATTTTATTATGCTAGTGGCGAAAGGAAGCAAGAGAAAATGAACCAATGGAAGGAAAACATTTGCTCTGATATATTTGTTTATGTAAGTCGTGTGATCCGGTTGTATCTTAGACCATTCACATTGTTTTCACTTCCCCTCCAGCAGTGAAGTGAATTGAAGGAGACCTTCAATTCCAAAATACATAGTCAAATCCTGACTGTTACTTGTTTTTCTTACCTGAGTACTATATTATTAGATCATAATTTCCTTGTGGATTCACTGTAATTTTTTAATGTTTATGTTTCTTTTCCTAAGTGTTGTAGTACCTTGCAGTTTGCAAAAAATTTGAATGAAGGGGCCAGCAGGTGGAATGGTAGTTAAAGGTGCTGAACTCTCATACGGCCGACCGCGGTTCGAATTCCAGATCCGAAAGCTTACTTTCTCACTTTCTCTCTCTCTCACTCCCTTCGTCCCTCTCTGGTCAATTATAAATAAGCAAATAAAGTTAAATAAGAAGAATTCTTTTTTAAAAATTTGAATGAAGGGGCTAGCAGATGGCATAGTGGTTATGTTGCTGGACTCACACATGACTGACCACAGTATGAATCCAGACCAGATGACTTGAAACTCAGGTTGGGTGACTGTGCAAGGGTGTTCAAGATCCTGGGAGGAGAATGGAGGAGAAGGGATTGCAGCATTGCCATCTCTCCTGAGGGGTGATTTCACTGTTTCTGTCTCTCTCTCCTGCGAGCACATGTGCCCTGAGACAAAAACCTCTAAAAAAATTTTTTTGCATGCATAAGTAAGTGAATGTTTATTACTATTACATTGCTTGCAGCCAATGGCAAACCAATAATGGCAACTTTGCATATAAGAAAAAACAGTCAAGTATGTCAAATTCTTTAAGCCAGTTGCTAAAACATTGGGCCCAGTTTCAAATGTTGTAGCAAAATCCTTATTATTTTACTTATTTATTTTTGGTCCTCTAAATAGCCAGACTTTAAAACTGGTGCTCTCCTCAAATGCTTAATGCTTAACATTTAAAGTTTTGGATGCTGAATGATGAGATAACATTTTAATATAAGTAAGTATGGATAAACATGTATTTTTTGTTTTGTTTCTAAGTAGTGCAATTCTATCTGAATGTATGATGTTTAAAGTTAAAGGTTTAAGCGCATGGTGGGGGGCGGTGACACTTTATTGGCCATAGCCTTGAAGTTAGTAGGGATTAGATACCTGTTATGACTATGGTTTTAAGCAATGATTATATGGCTTTATGACTTGGTTTCTACTATCTGCTTTTAGTACTTTTCTCTAATTAGAATCCTAATTTGCAGTCAGAGACCATTTTTGTAGTTGGTTCCACTCAATAGAGTATTAAGTTAGCAGTATATTTATGGTTCTTTCATTCTCTCATTTTACACTCTCCTCCACAGATTTATGTAGTCATGTGAAATGATGTTGGAATATGATTAGTAAAGTCATCCCTACTCTGTCGAGTCTGTGTGTGTGTGTGTGTGCATTTGAGTCTATTCTTACCTCACAGGCATCTAGTTTTCCTGACAAGTATCCAGCACATATCATTCCTGAAGATACGGCACCGCCATATACATGAACTTGATTACACACATCATTACTTATGATCTCTATTTCAACTTGTCGCAGAGTATTGGGAAAGGGACCTAAAGAGAGAAAAAAAAAAATAAGTAGATGAAGAATTTCCATATTGTTGATTCAGTAGTCAACTGCCATATTTTATGAAGGATAGACCAGTGGTAAAATATGTCTTGAGGTTGTGGGATTCTGGGCCAGATGATAATGATCAGAATCAAGTCACAGTTCCTGGGCACTTTCTATGTGCTAGGTATGCTTTTTGATATGGTACTCCTACTATTTTATCTAATCATTGTAGCAACCACCAAAGATAGATTTTAATATTCTCTTTTTCATCTGAGGAAACGGAAACTTACCTGGTTAGGAGTCTTACCATGATCGTATATATGGCTAAATGTGGGGCGGCGGTGGGGGTAGGGAGAGGGGAGAGTAATACTAGATTTAAACCTGGAATTTTTCTCATTACCTGGGAGAATCTGTGACAGCTTATTTTACTTTACCTGGAAATTTACCTTATCACTTTGAAAAAGGACATATCTATTTTAAGAATTGGGAAGAGGAATTCTATTTTCTTCTTTTAGTAAGAGCGATATAGAAAAGTCTATTCTACCAGAAAGTAACTTTATTGCACTCTTACTGTTTCATGAGATAGATCATGTGTTCTTTGGTAATAGCTTGATTTTACTATCTAAAACAAAAGCCAGGATAAGTAACAAATACCAAGATAGAAAATAGATCATATTTTATTAATTAACCATAAATTTATTGATTTATTATGTGAAAAGTATTTAACTGCACAGGCTATTGTTTTAGCATTACATTCTCCTCTTTCCCCACTAGCAGCCTCTATTTTAAAGACTGTATAAAGATGGGTGTTCTGCTAATAAAGGTCCAAAAACAATTGAGAGAAGAGAGACAGCAGTGTTATTGATTTGAGCAATTACTCAGGGTATTTCTGTGCATAAGGACCTTGGTATTGGAGGTGGCAGATGTGATTTTGCACACTGTCTGCAACACTACTTGCCCAATTTATGAGCTATATGACTTGGGGATTATTCATCACTTTACTCCTCTGAAAAAAGGAGAAAAGTATGCCTATCTCACATGTTCATTGTAAGAGTTAAAAAATAATGCATGTAATCAATTACGATAGTGCCTTGCCTATATTCAGTTCTCGATAAATGGAAACTATTAGAATTAATTATAGAAATTAGTATTATACATTCAAACCCTCATGGTTCTAAAGCTTAACTTCAGTGTTAGTAATTAATAGTGAGAAAGTTAGAGCTTTGTAAGAAAAGATCTAGGTTTCTAGGAATGTTGCCATTCACTACAAGGAAATCTAATTCTGTTTTAAAACTGGTATATTTACTCACTTACAATTGACTATCTTGCTGAAAAACTAAGTCCAACTTTTCTACAGTCATTAAAGATGATCTAGGATCTAGTGAATTTCTTCACTTCAGTTATCATCATCTTTATCTTTAAGCATTGAATGGTCTTTGTATGACCTTTTTTCACATCTCTTCATCTCTGATTCCACTGGATATGTTCCCAACAAGCCAATCTGCTCACCAACTGCTCTTTAAACAGATTTTTATATAGTCTAAACTATCTACTTGTAAAAATACCTCAGTAATGTTTGATACTATCTCTTTTGCTTTCTATAATTGCATTTAAAAACTTGAGGCATTCCTAGCTTTAATCAATGATATCCAACCAAGTATTCTAATTTCTTTGTGCCAGTTTTTATCTTTATTAATTGACTGAAGATTCTTAGTTTTAAATTTCCAATGTGTATAATTTTTTAATCTAAAAAAAAAACCCCAAACAAATTATTAACAGTATAACAAGCTACTTTACACTATGAACTACTTAAGGAGAAAACTATCCAGAGAGTAGAAAGTTTGTTTTGCAAACTGTCTAGTAACAGGATTTCTAATCAGGTATAATTGAATAAATCTTGGGAAGTAGAAGAAAACCCAAGTAGTCTCTGTTTTATTTCAAAGGGCAAAGAAAAATAAATCAAATATATATTAATCTTATTCTGATGCCTTACAAATTCAGAACATTATATTTGGAAAGTACTCAGCTTGTTAAAATAGATAGCTTGTTGCACAGCAATCTGCATGCATGCTATTGAAGTTTGAGTAATTAATCATAAAAGACCAAAATCACTCCCCACCTACTTCTCTAGAAGGAGGAGGTAAATTTAGTTAGGTTGCTGGGAGTTTTACTTCTAAAAGGAAGTGACTTTAAGTGGTTCTAAGTGACTTTAAGCTACAAGGTATTTAATTCCCCTTTATATTCAACACTGCTTCATATAGAACAATAGAAATTCCTCCCAGAGATGAGGAAGAGAACTCTCAGGTAATAAAAAAACAGTGCCTTGGGACCAGCTATTGGCATAATGGCTACGTTGCTGGACTCCCATGTAGTCAACCAAGGTTCAATTTCCGGACCCTGTGGCTTAACCTCACGCCGGGCACATGTGCGTGAGTGCCCAAGATCCCGAATGGAGAGTGGAGGAGAAGGGATTGCAGCGTGGCCATTCCCCTTGGGGGGTGATTTATTGCTTTCTCTGTCTCTGTCTCTGTCTTTCTGGCGAGCGCACATGCCGTATAGCAAAAACCTCTGTGAAAAAACGACAACAACAGCAACCAGTGCATCAATGTATACTCAGTGCCAGAATTCTGGAATCATTTTGAAGGGAAGTAGACTTCATAAAAATCAGATAAAGATTCAGTAGATAAAAGCTATACTTACGAGCAAGTACATACGTACATAAGACTATGACTTCATAATAAGAGCCTGGGTCAAGAATCATACGTTTGAGGGTAGATTAAACCATACATAAAAAGTCCAGCCAAAAGACATATGAACTAGAGACTCCTATTCAGATCAAGTAGTCTATGTTTACAGTTTATAATGTTATTAAGTGGAGTAAATGCCATACTTGTCAACTTTATGTCTTTGGCTCAAGGACAGCTCCATAGATACATGCATGAATCAGAGGAATCCCATTTTCTGTTTAGCACCAGATAGAGAACAGCCATTCAGATTACTTAAGACTATTTCTTTTTAAATGCAGACACATGACAGAAGTTTAAGATTACTAGTGCCTGCAAATCATATATATTATGACTCATGCAATTGTACCAGAATTTTTACATATGGAAGACAGCAACCAAGAGAAATACATTATGTCAAAAAATACACTTTAATAATTTTCAAAAAGAAAGCTCTAATGTGCTTCCAAGATTTCGTAAGAAAGATAAACATGGGTCCTTTGTAATAGTAATAGTCAATGTTTTGTAAGTCACCATATCGGTTTTTGTCATATTTGTCATGGAATATGTTGATTTCATCTCTCATTTTATATATTTTGATTTTGCATTTCATTTTATCTTTCCATTACAAATCATTATTTGCATTGCTGTTTTTACTGAGATACTCACCATTTGCTCTTAAGGCTCCCCATCCACTGACAAACACTCTACTCTTAGGCAAGACTTCGAAAGTAGAGTCCGGGAGACACACTCTGTGCACATCATTGGAATTCCTGATGGGGGCGGAGAGCTTCACCACAGCAATGTCATCTTCGTGCTTATGGGCAGCATAGTTTTCATGAACAATAATTGACTGTACCTTTCTTCTCATCAGTGCAGGGCTTAGGGTTATTCCAAAACTAGCCATCCATAATCTGGGGTTTTTGTAACTGATCACAGATTAAAAGAAGTACAGTTGGTTCATTTCTGATCTAAATTTGCCCAGGACTCTGGATGAACAGGGGACATCAGTGTGGGAGGGGGGCAAATAGATTGGGACTTTCTCACCTTCTTAACTGAGATTTCTCCCCTAGGATTGCTCTGCTTTCATCTAATTAATAATAAAGCCTCCATTCCAGGGTAGTTTAAATTACTCTCTTTAGGAAGAGTTTTTATTTCTTTTTTAAAAAAACTACTATTGTCATTTTTTTATTGTAAAAATAATATAGATTGATTGAAGGAAATTAAGTAAAAGGTAGACATATGTACCCACTTATATAAACAGACACATGTATATGCTCATATCAATACACAGTTGTATAAAAGTATGTATAGCTATGGGAAGAGAGAAATAGAGAGGAGGTAAAACTAAAGTCACATTTTCTATATCATTTTCTCATGCTTCCTTTTATCTAGCACTTTATCCAAATATTTTCCCTTTTTAACGGATTTTATTGGGTTGTTGGGAAAGTCATGATGCATTTTGCATAGAAAAATAGAAAAATATGTTGTGACTTTCCCAACAACCTAATACCAAGCTTACTATATCTCTATTTTTAAGTGTTCCATATGTTAAATCTTCAAAAAGCATACAAAGAATAAAAGCATGCAGCAAAGTTATTCAACATGGGATAATCAGCAGTAAGTTGGTATACTATTTATTTTATTTTATAGATTTTTTTTTCCCCTAGGGCATGTGTGCTCACTATGGGGAGAGAGAGGTAAGGAGAGAAAGTAAGAAATCATCCCCCGGGGGAATGGCCACACTGCAATCCCTTCTCCACTGTTCTTCTCTAGGGACTTTGAGCATGCGTGCACCTGCACCTCTGGCGTGTTTTCCAAGTCATCAGGTCTAGGACTCAAACCATACACTCAGCCATGAGGGATCAAGCTGCCTTAACCCCATGCCACCTGACTGGCCCCAAAACACTATAGAGTTGAAAAATCCACTACATGTCTCAGGAAAATTGGTGTGCATGTTTGATTTTTTAATGTTAGCCTGTTCCTACAAACATTGATATTGCAGGGGAACTGGAGATAGTCTGTTTTTCATTACTATTCTTAACTGTCACTATTTCCTAAGCCTGCTGGACAATCATGAGTACCATGGGGAGGCCTAAGATGTTCTTGAAGGAAATATAAAAGAGATAAGAATTGTAGGATGTGAAGGTGAGAAGAAGAGGTGAAACTGGTGATCCTCAGGATTGGGACTGAGGACTTACATGTCAAAACAGTGAGCGGCAGTCAGGAGCCACTCCTCGCTGATTAAAGATGCTCCACAGAAATGAACTCCGTCCACTTGCAGGCTCGCTTGCCACGGCCAGTCACCTTTCCTTGCAATACGGCCTCCAGCGATTCTTTCCATGGATGAGTCTTCCTTCCCCAAACCACAGACTGTCAGAAAGGAACCAGGTGTTTATTTCCAGAGAGTTACAAATGTGTGTAGGTGTGTTTGGCACATAGTTAAGGATGGAAACATTTATAGGTGTGACCTGCCTTTAAAATTTTTATTGAAATTAATATTACATATAATGATGATTACTTACATTAATAAAATGTGACTAAACACATTTTAAATGATTATTAACATTTAAAAATTATTTTAACACCATCCTCATTGTATTGAAAGCAATCACACTGTAAAATTTTTTTTTCATATTGTTCTTATGTGCAGCACTTTACCCCGGTGATATCTAACATTTCTGAGTGTTAAATTTACACTATTTATTGCAGAAAAGCAATGACTGTACTTTTTAAAAATACTTGTCTAACAGGATATCTGTTTTACTACCATTACCATAAATGTCCAAATTTTATGTTAAAGTTAGTGAGTGTCATTATTTCTAAGCAAAATTTTCTACTTTAACCAAGTGGGGCAACTAAAAATAAATTAATATAATAAAAGGACATTATTAGAAAGTCATTAGTGAAACATTCTATGAGAAAGAGCAAGTATTTCCAAGGAGTACACACAGGCTTTCCCAACCACATGAGGTAGTAGTTTTTCCCTTTAGAATTAAATCATGTATTCATTTAGAAATATTATATTCTTTGGGGAAATATTTAGCATAGGAATGAGAAAGGCTAAAATGAGTTTTATTCTTTGATTTATAAACATCTTGGTGATATTCTTGAACTTACGGCTATTCAGAATATGTTCAGCTTGTGCTTCATTAATATCTGAAAGAAAAAATAAGATGACTGTTTAGATGAAACTATTATAATTTAAAATACTATACCTATTTGACATGATTTTCTTTTTTCTGGTTGGGAGGAACCACATTAGTCAGGAAATTCTTAATTTAAAGGCAATAAAATAAAATTCTACAAAAAAGAGAGATGTATGTATAAATTAAATACTTCTCACCATAAGGAGACTCCAGGAAAATTCTGATTTATGGTGGTCAAACTACTGGCATAGAAGAGGATATTGTGAGCTAGCTAGTAGCATGACAGTTAAGGTGGCTGGATCTCACATGGCCAACAGCATGGTTTGAGTCCAGAATCTGGCAGCCTGAGAAACATGCTGAGCACATGTCTGTGCATGCCCAAAATCCTGACGGGAGGAGAGGTGGAGGAACAGGGATGTGCGTTGTCATTCCCTGCCCTGAGGCTGGTGGCATCTGGTTGCTTTCTCACTTTCCTTCCTTCTCTCTCTGTCTCTCTTCAGTGAGTGTACTTGCCTCTGGCAAATGTATTTTAAGAAAATGAAAGGAAAAAAAAAAGGATCTTGTTTGTCATACAGGAGGAATACATCTACTTAACAGATGTTGTACCAATTTATGAAAATATGAGTTAATATAGAAGAGGTCTAGGGCCAGCTTTACATGTATAGTGTATGTCTGGAGAATGTTTCTTTCTGTCCTTATTTGAATAGTGGTGCTATTGTAAAGGCATTCAAAGCATCTTAGAAGCCTGGCATCTAGGTTTGGTTCACAGATGCGTCCTGTGAAATGAAAATCCATCAATGTCATAACAAATCTTCAAAATAGATTATCCTGCTAGTCTTTTTTTCTTTTTCCATAAAGTTAAATAGTGAAAAGCATGATCAGTGGCTGTCCTCCGAATGATCTGAGTTGCTTCTTTGGCTGATATAGTATAGGAGCAATGCAGACCTACACTTTGTTAAGATGAAAGTTGGTATGAAGTTTTTGTAAGTCTGCAATTTAATGATTCTTTAACGAGGGTCATTTTCCAAAGTGGAATATTGAGTTCATATGCAGGGAACTATGCTTAGGGAGTTTATTAGGGTAAACACCTTAGAATTAGGTTTTGCCAGTAATTACGTTGTTGGTAAAGTCATGTTGTATTTTCATATGTTTTCTATGCAAAGGTGCATCATGACTTTCCTGACATCCCTATGATAGCAACTCTCTAGTAGTTTGCCTGGTCTTTGTAATAAACACAAACCTTCTATGTGAACCTATGTGACATTGTTCCTTAATCTCGCATTTGATGTCACATGGAACTGCTTTTGCTCTTAGTGGCCTTGGTCTTCCTGTTTCTTGACTGTGCCAGGGTGTCCCTACCTTCAGCCTGTGTTCTAGCTGCCTCCTTTGCCAGGAATGTTCATGGCACTTTTATGGCTATTTCTTCATTGTCCTCCATTGTCTTTTGTTTTCTGAAGATTAAGCTACAGGGATCAGCAGATGGCAAAATGGTTACGTTGCTGGACTCCCATGTAGTCAACCGCAATTTGAGTCCCAGATCCGGTGACTTAAAACTCATGCCGGGTGTGTGTGTGTGCGTGCCCAAAATCTTGAGAGGAGGACAGAGGAGACGGGATTGCAGATGTCCATCCTCTCTGAAGGGTGATTTCTTGCTTTCTGTCTCTCTGTTTCTCTCTGTCTCTCTGGTGAGTGCATGCACTCTATAGAAAAAAAAATACCCTCTCTATTTAACTTCTATGTGAACCTATGTGACATTGTTCCTTAATCTCGCATTTGATGTCACATGGAACTGCTTTTGCTCTTAGTGGCCTTGGTCTTCCTGTTTCTTGACTGTGCCAGGGTGTCCCTACCTTCAGCCTGTGTTCTAGCTGCCTCCTTTGCCAGGAATGTTCATGGCACTTTTATGGCTATTTCTTCATTGTCCTCCATTGTCTTTTGTTTTCTGAAGATTAAGCTACAGGGATCAGCAGATGGCAAAATGGTTACGTTGCTGGACTCCCATGTAGTCAACCGCAATTTGAGTCCCAGATCCGGTGACTTAAAACTCATGCCGGGTGTGTGTGTGTGCGTGCCCAAAATCTTGAGAGGAGGACAGAGGAGACGGGATTGCAGATGTCCATCCTCTCTGAAGGGTGATTTCTTGCTTTCTGTCTCTCTGTTTCTCTCTGTCTCTCTGGTGAGTGCATGCACTCTATAGAAAAAAAAATACCCTCTCTATTTAAAAAAAAAAAAAAAGAAAAAAGAAAAAGAAGATTGAGTTACAGAATTAAAATGTTTTACAAATACCAAGTTCCTACCCAAGGCTGAGTTCTACACTAATCTTGAAGATGCACTTGTGATTACAGAGGACACATTTCTTGTATTCAGAAAATTATCAGTCTTTTGTGGAGAGAGATTAAAAAAAAAAAAAAAAAAAAAAAAAGGCAAAGTAATCCCTAAGCACCTTCATGAAGCACAGAGGTATCAGGAAGAATTATCACACCACGGAGGCCTTTTGAGGAGAATGAGGAATGAGGAATGTTTCAACAATAACTTGCCTAGGCAAGTGACTGAAGACCTGGCCATAGATGGATCACCTGCAGATGCTTGCATGGACCAGACATGACTGAGATTTAAACCACCCCACCCACATCCTGTAACACTGTGAAGGAACTAAGTCCCCTAATACCACAGAGTGAGTGTGGAGGTGGAAGTGAGAGATCCAGAAATGATGAATTTAAGTTACTAATGTTTCACTTAGTAGCAATTAAAAGTCAAACTTAAATGTCTTAAAGATACAGTTTAGATTACTACATCAGTAGCACAGTGTAGATTTTTTAAAACAAGCATGCTTAATTTACTTCCAACAATTCAACTCAGAAACACTATTACTTTTTGGTTATTATACAATTCTCACTTTATAGATTTTTCTGTATTAGCCAAAGGAAGATAATCTTGGAGTTGTATGGGGATTTGTTAATTATCAGATAAATCAGAGACTTAAAATAAAAAGTAGTTTCATTTTATGCTGAAATAAAGAAGCTGTCTGTGTAGATAAGATGATTAAAAACGATGAACTATAACAAGGAAGAATAGTAGTATTTCTTGCCTCTAAGATAAGGTAATGCAGTATCTATCTTCAAGAAGCTTTCGTTTGATTTCAACTTCTGATGCAAAATGTTATCAGCTTGCCTTTTTATTGTGTCCGCATTGTTAGAAGTAAACTGAAACTTAAGCAGTACATCTGTTTCCAGACCCTCATTACTTGGCCTGAAAAACAAAATCACCAGCGTGAGTGAGGTCATAATCATGGTAATTATGTTATATCTTATTACTTAAATATCAGTCGTATCTTAAAGAAAATTTACTATAAACATTTTATATATTTTGTTGCCATTGATTTTTTCCCCTTCATATCTCACACAGGTGTTAATACCTGAATTATTCTCTGCTTGTAAAATTTTATCATATTCAGAGAAGGGAGAGTATGGGACAGCTCTAGAACTTTTGTTCCTGGAAAAATAATCAGAAGTGCTTGTTAAATTCAACAACTTTGTACATATATCATATATATGTGGATATATACTCTTGTGTTTAAAATTTATAATAGCCATTTATTAGAAAAAAGTTATACTTGGGGTCAGCAGATGGCATGGCAGCTAAAGTGCTGGGCTCCTACGTGGCAGGCTGTGGTTCTAGTCCTAGACCTGGTGGCTTACTTTCTCACTTTCTCTCTTGCTCTCTATCTGATTAAAAAAAAAAAGATAATGATAAATAAAATTAAAGAATTAGTTTTTTTTGTAAAAGGAAAGAGTTAAACTTGAGAAAGTAGTTAATGATTATAAGAATATTCTACTGAAATACAGAAGTTTATTTATTTATTTATTTTAATTTGACCAGAGAGGGACAGAGAGAAAGAGAGAGAGAGAGAGAGAGAGAGTGAGAAAGCAAGCCACCAGGTTTGAGATTTGAAACGCAGTCAGCCAGGTATGTGGGAATCCAGCACCCTTAACCACCACGCCACCTGCAGCCCCAAAACGCAGAAGTCTTTAAAAGGACATCCAATGAATATATTTTATCACTATTCAAGAAATTCTCTTACTATGGGTACTCTGCAAAGGAAGAATAACAAAATTATAATAATACTAAATTATGTTTTCTCTTGCGAAAGATAAGATTTTTAGATCCAAATAACTGAAGAATAATTAAATTTCCTTTTTTATTATATAGCTTAATTACTGGTGATTACCTGAAGTTGATAACATGAGAGTTGATGTAATGACGGTTTAAACTGGAATTTTGAAATATCTTATTTATCTGAGAAAAGAAACAAACAGAATAGAACCTTGTTAAATATGAGTTTCACACATTTCAGTATATCATAAAAATGCTTAAATTCCTGTATAGAGCATGATGCTAATACCATTTACTGTAATGTTTGTTTACAGATATCCCCAGAAAGTTCATTTTGGCATAATACTGTTGTTATAAGATCATCCAAATAATTAGATGTTGATACAATGTGCTGTGACTACAATGTGATGTGACTACTTGTCACATGGTCAAGGATGACATATATAAAGAACTGAATGAAGCTAGGTATTTTAATAATCATTATAAAATATACATGGGGGGCCAGCAGGTAGCATGGTGGTTAAGGCTCAGGATACTTCCACATGGTCCACCACGGTTTGAGTCCCAGACCTGGTGGCTTGCTTTCTCACTTTCCCTCTCTGTGTGTATGTGTGTGTCTCTCTCTGGTCAAATTAAAATAAATGAATGAATAAATAAAATTAAATAAGCAATTATTTTACAAAATACACATGGAGTTGGAGGTTCAGAGGTTGAAATTTTCTTGAAAGTTTTGTATGCATGAATTTATCATACACTCATTATCCAATATCATTCAAGCTCAGTTATCATCCTCTTGGATATAATTGAAGGATTCATATTCAAGCTTTAGTGAAACTTTTTAGGCCAAGTAAATGGGAGTAGGGAGGAGAATATATACTTATTGGGCACTTCTTGAAAATCAATATATTTGGCAAGAAAAATGCATGAAAGTATTACTTAGAATAAGACAAGACTATAATGCCACTTGTGTGTAATTCTCGACTTCCTACATGGGATAATTTCTCTGTGGTCTAAGTTCCTAGATCAAAATTATCTGTTACTAAAACCACAGCTTGTTATAGAACTTGTGGTCTAATAAGCCTGCTAATTACCATTGACTCATCGAGCTGGCTTGTCAGAAAAGAGACTGATCAACTGTCAAACTTTAAATGAACTTGAGTCTGAATAGGTAGTTCTGCAACTCAGAAAAGAATTGCCAAATTGTGAAATTGGGTGAATATTGAACAAGTGCTTTTCACCCCTCTGATTTGATTCATGAAATTTTGTTTATTGAAGTGTCATATGATATCATATTGGATATGCTGGTGAACACAAGTTTATTAAGAAATCAACATTTATTCAAAAACAAATGGACATATGTTTTCCCTCTACGAAGAGAAATTTATTTATTTATATATTTATTTTTATTTATTTTTTAAGAGACTTTTGGTATAGGTCACATGTGCTTGCCAGAGAGACAGAAAGTGAGGAATCATCCCCAAGGGGGGATATAAATGCTGCAATCCCTTCTCCATTCTCCTCTCAGGATTTTAGGCATGAACACACAAGTGCTTGGCCTGAGTTTTAAGGCATCGGGTCCAGCACTCAAACCTTGGTCAACTATGTGAGAGTCTAGCAATGTAACCATTATGCCATCTTCTGGACCTGAGAAATTTATTTTTTACTTTATTTATTTATTTATCTATTTTGGTCAACTATGTGAGAGTCTAGCAATGTAACCATTATGTCATCTTCTGGACCTGAGAAATTTATTTTTTTACTTTATTTATTTATTTATCTATTTTTTGAGAGAGTTTTTTGCTGTAGGGCAAGTGCGCTCACCAGAAAGACAGAGACAGAGAGACAGAAAGTGAGAAATCACCCCCAAGGGGGATCGCCATGCTGCAATCCCTTCTCTTCCATTCTCCTCTTGGCGTGAGTTTAAGCCACCAGGTCCAGGACTCAAACTGCAGTCAACTACATGGGAGTCCAGTGACATAGCCATTACACCAACTGCTGGTCCAGAGAAATTTATTTTTTAAGAAAACAGTTTTATATACATACATGTACATTTATATGACAAAACTAATACATATTCATTATAAAAAAAACAGCCAATACAGGACAATAAGCATTAAAGTCCTTTCTGAATCACTATGTAGAGAATTCATTTACATTTTTAATATATGCACTTCCAGATTTTACATACACATTTTATATATTAATATGATATTTATTACATAGATATATAGACTATATGTTTTCTGCCTGCCTTATTTCATTCTCTTTCCAATTTCATCATTTTTCCCGTTATACTATAAGTTCATGAACAATATATAGTCCTTGTCAATTAGACACATAAACTATCTAGATTATTAAACTCCACAAGAAATTTATAAAATTAATTTTAGTTACTTGCTTTAATCTTTTCTTCTAGAAAGATGTTTGCTGCTGAACTATATTTTAAACCAAGCTTCAGTAAACTATAGCCTGTAGGCCCCATCTGGCCTGCCACCTGTTTTTTGTATTTCTTATGATCTAAAATGGCCTTCACATGCTTTTTACAGTGGAAAAAATTTTTAAACAATAACTTTTAGCATCTAAAAATTTTACAAAAATGGATTTTTATTTTTTTTTAAATTTGCTAAAGGGCACATACACACAACAGAGAGAGACAAAGTGAGAACACACCGTCTAGTGGACATTTCCACACTGCAATCCCTTCATTCTCTTCTTGGGATCCTGGAAAAGCACACACAAACACCTGGCATGCTTCTCAAGCCACCCGTAGGGACTGAACTATGCAATTGACCATGTGGGATCTAGCCATCCCAATTACCATGCCACTGGCTGGCCCCTAAATTCAGTTTTTATAAGGTTTTATTAGAACATAACCACACTCATTTTTTAAATGTATTTGCTACGGCTGTTTTCATATTACACTGACAGCTGTGAGTAGTGAAGAATCTATATGGCCAAAAATGTTTACTACAATGAATTTAAAAATAATTTTAAGTGACCAGCAGTTAGCATAATGGCTATGTCACTGGACTCCCACGTAGTCGACCGTGGTTCGCGTCCCGGACCCAGTGGCTTAAAACTCAACGCCGGGCGCATGTGCGTGCATGCCCAAGATCCCGAGAGGAGAATGGAGGAGAAGGGATTGCGGTGTGGCCATCCCCCCTGGGGGGGTGATTTCTCGCTCTCTGTCTCTCTGTCTCTCTCTGTCTGGTGAGCGCATGTGCCCTATAGCAAAAACCTCTCAAAAAAATTTTTTTTAAATGGCTAAAGAAATATTTCTGAACTTGGCAAAAGTGATCTGCCATCTTTGATTGGTCAATGCTGGGCTCAGTATAAGCTAATATACAACTGAAGTCTTCAGTAGAAGAGCTTGTCTATGTGGATTTGTAGTGTATTTTCAGTATCAGATTGATATAAGTTGCCTGAAGGGAAATCTATCAGAGTTATCCATAGTAGGTGCCTAATAAATGGTATATAGTGATGCTTATTCTTGAATGTTTGGGCTATGTTTTCAGAAAATTCTAATAATTCATTTTGTAATTGTGCATTTTCCTGTTGTTCCGTCTCTGGTGTAAATTCTCATTGGTCCAGTGTATTTTTCTAGGCTTCCTGGGATAATTTTGGTTAGGGTTGTCAGAACTAGCAAATTAAAGGTAGATTAAAACTGAATTTCAGATAAACGATCATTTTTCCTTTAGTGTAAGTGTGTTTCAAATATTGCATGAAGATATTTTCAGGAGGACCTAAAACTAAAATTTAGCTGAGCATTCTGTATTTCAATTGGCAACCCTATCAAGGCGTGATCAGGTGTGCTCTCAATTTGCCTCTTACTTTGATATTCTTCACAATAGTATTGTAAGGGTAAGAATGATGCCAGCTATACTCAATCTTACCTCATGATTGATTTTTTCTTTCAAGTCTGTCATAGATTTTGAGTGTTCTATTGAAAAATCAGGATTATATTCAATACTTGGAATCTGAAAGGAGGCCTGGTAGTATTGAGTTTTCTGTTCTAGAGGGGAAGACAGAAACGGATGATTTCCAGTTAGTTCACTTGAGTTGTATAATTATAAGAAGTAAAAGGGGGTGAAAAACAAAACAAAAATATCATATAATTGGTAGACTCTTGAGAATTAAACATTCAGTAGCTATGAACAACTCTCTAAGGGAGACATATGAACTGCCAAAAAGCATATGAAAAAATGCTCAATATCCCTCATCATAAGGAAGATAAAAATCAAAACCATAATGAGGTATCACCTAACCCCGGTAAGAATGGCTAGTGATTAAAACAAAACAAAACAAAACAAAACAAAAAAAACCCCAACAACCAATAAGTGCTGGTAGGGCTCTGGTGAAAAGATAACTCTCCTACACTGTTGGTGGGAATCTAAATTAGTACAGCCACTGTGGAGATCAATATTGGAGGTTCCTCAAAGATCTACAAATAGAACTACCATATGATCCAGCAATTCCACTTTTGGGTATCTGCCCAAAGTACAGGAAAACACTCAGTCAGAAAAGTACTTGTTCATCTATGTTTATTGCTGCATTATTCATAATTGCTAAAACATGGAACCAACCCAAATGTCCACAAACAGATGAATGGATTGAAAAAGTGTGGTGCATATAGACTATGAAATATTACTCAGCCATTTAAAAAAACTACAAGATCCTGGCATTTGATAGAAAGTGGAAGAATATGAGAGAGTTACTGCTAAGTGACGCAAGCCAGGCTATGAAAGAGAAACGTTGATTTCTCCACTTAATATATACTGATTTTCTGCACTCTATGTGAAAACTTAAAGATTAGAGGGTATGGAAGCATGGAAAAATAGATACTGGAGACCATGTGGGAAGATGAAAGATGAAGAGAGTGTGAGAAGAAAAGAATCAAGGAGAAAAATAGAAAGGCAAGACATTTAAGGGACACAAATTGAAAATTGTTGATAACATGTATGATATCTTTAACTGGACTGGTATTAAGTGTGCTCATGCTGGGTAATTCATTTTATAAGCTGTAGTTGTGTACAGTGATTGAATGTATAAAGTAAATTAAAATAATAAAAAGAAAAAAGTAAACATTCAATAGTTAGGGCCAATATCATTCTTTAACTCATTTTTATTTCTCATGGTCTCCATGGTTGTCAGTTGTGTACTAATACAGTTATCACCTATTGGTGATAATAAGTGTAAGTTTTAATTAAATAATTGTATATTGTAACATATCTCATAAGTTTACCTCAAGTTAGAATTGCTACTAAAGTAGTTTTTTTACTCTCAGCATATTAAATATTATCAAATCATAAAATAACAGGATGTTAATCTATTACATTCTTCAAGAGATGATTTATCAGACACACTTCATTTTAGATGTTAGAAGTGATTTTGTACATGAAGAGTTTTCCAAGAGTTATTTAAATAAAAGTTGCATTGTAAAATACTATAAAATATTAAGGTTTTGAAATAAATTGAACAGGTCTTCAAATTTCCCAAAGAATACAAAGGTAGATACTTACCATATGCCAAAACATAAACAAGGACACCAATAATTATAGCCAGAACCAAAACAACTGCTGTGATAATAAGGGCAATCATCCATGGTTTCAGTGAACTTGTTCTTCTACTCAATATTGCTGGCCTTTGAGAAAGAGTAATATATTAAAAACAGATAGGATTTTAAGACTAAATCTTTTTGGTATAGAATTTTTTCCTGAAATTTATAATTATCTCATGTTGCATATGATAAATATTTTAATATAGTTTTATTTGAAATTTAGAAAAAATTACTAAAATTGCATTGACATTCAATGTTATATATTGAGTTTATTTATATTTATTTTATTATTAGAAGGCTCATGCACTCACCAGAGAGAGATAGAGAGAAGCAAGGAGAGAAAATAATCTCACCATGGGGCTGGTCACACCAAACAATCTCTTTCTTTAATTTTTCCTATGAGGATTTTGGGCATACACATACATGTGTGTAGTGTGTTTTTCAATCCACTGCGGCCAAGATTCAAACTGTGGTCAGCTCTGGGAGATATGACTCCCAATGCCCAGCCCCTCACCACTGTGGTATGGGTCCAGCCTTATGTGTTCATTTTGTAAAGTTAGCATTATACACCTATTGACTACTGTTTGATGTATCACTTGGTCCATTATACTACACATTCTAAAATTTTTTTCTTTATAAACGAATGAATAGCATGTATTTGGTTCGTGTGCTTCAAATCACAATGAACCTTGGGACCAACAGGTGGCATGTTGGTTAAGGTGCTGGACGCTCCCACATGGCTGACCACGGTTCAAGTTCCAGACCTGCTGGCTTGCTTTCTCACTTTCTCTCTCTCTTGTCACATGAAAATAAATGAATGAATAAATAAAATTAAATAAATAATTTAAAAAAAAATCACAATGAACCTCAAAGAGCAAGAACATCTGAGTCACTGACAGAAGATCAGAGATAACCAAATGTTTAAGCTGGATATTGGAAAAGCCAGAAACAGGACTTTAGTTAATGAGGTTCTTTCTATATCTCTGACCCTTAAACCCATAACACCATTTATAGGACAAGTTATTTGCAATACATATTAGCAACATCAATTATAGGGTAGATTGAAAGCAATAAAACAGAAGACAACTATAAGGAAAACATAATTAGCAGGACATTTATATAACTAACAAACATGTGAATAGTGATAACTCGAGACGTTAGACCCAAGAACTCTGTGGTGTGATATGATACATATCTATTTCATAGAGTTATAAGATTTCAAATCTTTGATCTTTATAGGTGATATTTTATAGGATAGGTGACATGTGAGTAAATAAAAAAATCAATCTAAGGAAAAAGTTTAAGACATTGATAATACTGGCAATAAGCAAATATGATAAGATTATATGAAAATGACATGCAAATTACTGATATTTAAGAAAATCTTGTAGAAGTAAGAAAATGTGACAAAGCTGTGTCTCTGTCCCAGTGTCAGGGCCCACAGTCTAAGGATAAAATCTGAACAATTGTAGAGCCATGCCAGGCTCCATAACACCAGCATGGGTTGTTCAGAGAGATTTAAACTATAGAAAAACTAGATGAGAATATAATTCTGATAGTTAAAGGTGTTGCTTCTTATTCTGTCCAAATCACACTTAGAAACCAAGAAGGAATTACCTCCTCTGGGAATGGTAGCTAGTAGCAGTAAAATGGAGCATAGGCCTCAGCTAAATACTAATAATTGAAGATACCAGTTGAGTTGCCTCTTTAGGCATCAGTGGTCTGGAAAGATTGAAGATATTTCTGTTATCACTAGGACTGGACAAAGAAAAACTTAAAGGTAATTTCCTCACCCCAGAACCATCAACTTGAATTCCTCTAAGTAGTCCAATAACATAATTCTGAGTTCAGTTGGGTTTCTGAAAGGACCTGCACTCTTTGGCTGGTGGCAAAACAAAAGTTGTATATTTGCAAACATCTTAAGTATCTTTAGAGAGCTAGGGTGGAACTGGGGAAAGGACAAGAGCAGATGAACATATTCATTCCCTTTTAATAGTAGCTCATGGGCAATCATCTATTCAGTTGACATTTACCGAATTTCTTCTGTATGCTAATGAAACATCTGCTAAAGATTCAAAATGATTAAGACATAGTCTCTTACTGGAAAGGATGTGTAATCTAAAGACACTTGAAGAAATTAATACAAATGTTACATGTCGAGAGGCAAGGGGCAGGCCTTCAGAAGACTCCTCCATGGCTCCTGGGAACTAGTGATTTCAGGGAAAAAAAGAGAAATGAAGATTTTTCTACTAATAATTCGGCCTCTAGTCCTTAAACTTGAGTAGTAGGGAGCCCCTCTAGCCTTCTCTCCTTTTCTCTGTCTCTATCTCTCTCTACCTCTGTCTCTGTCTTCTCTTTTATTATAACTTTTTGTTTTTAAAAAAAGTTAAGGTGGGGAGCCAGCAGTTAGTGTAATGGCTATGTCGCTGGACTCCCACGTAGTCGACCGTGGTTCGCGTCCTGGACCCGGTGGCTTAAAACTCACGCCAGGTGTGTGTGTGTGTGTGTGCGTGCGTGCCCAAGATCCCGAGAGGAGAATGGAGGAGAAGGGATTGCGGCGTGACCATCCCCCAGGGAGATGATTTCTCACTTTCTGTCTCTGTCTCTCTCTGTCTGTCTGGCAAGCGCACGTGCCCTATAGCGAAAACCTCACACAAAAAAAAAAACAAACCAAAAAAAAGAAAAAAAAGAAAAAAAAATGGTTAAGGTGAAGTATTCTCTTGGCTTTCAGCCCCACCTTTATCTTGCTAATAATCCCTTTTCCCTCTCCCATCCAGGAGAGGCAAGGACTTGCAGGCCTTCAGAGGAGGACTCCTCTGTGGCTCCTGAGAACTTTTGTGCGGCATACTTGTGCACCTTACGGTTTTTTATTTTTTGCCTTTTTTAAAACAAAACCAAAAAAAAAAAAAAATACCACCAAACTTTTTTTGTTTTTCTTTTTCTCTGTTTCTCTCTCTCTCTTTCCCCCACCCTCCCCTCCCCACATAACAATCCCCTTGTGGTTCAACCCCTTGTTCACTGGGTCAACACCTGGGAGGGTGGCCATTCTTACAGCCTTCTTCACCCTTTTATCTGGGGCAAGGACCCCTGCATTGTTTTTGCCATTCAGAAACACCTTGTCCTTCACCACCACCCCCCCAAGCCTGCCAAGCCTCTATGGCCCATCCTTACAGGCCTGGGCCTCAATTCTACACCAAACA